ATATAGCTCTTTGGCATACAAAGCTTTGCTTTCATGTCCAAATTGAGCACTCTATCTAGGATGAGTCATTGCCCATAGGGGCTAGGAAGAAAGGGCGGCTATACTTAAGTGATTTATGTAATGTAATTATTTGGGTCAGATATAACACGCACACGCACACGCACACGCACACACTCATTCATCATACAAAACAAGGTCAAGGAAGGAAGGAATATCAGAGTAAATAAGAAGCGGAAGCCCAGAAAAATTATTAATATTTATCTAGAAGAATTAGCTTAAGGTTTTCCTTAAAACGTTTCAGAGGAAGAAGCTTTACGTCTTCACTTATATCATTCCAGACTTAAGCGCCCTGAAATATTACGTTGAAGATTCCATACTTGTTCTGGTATTTGGAATAGATAGTCTGGTATTATAATTATGTAACATCCTAACAGAATTGAAATAAGGGTCAAATACAGGAGGTACGAGTTTCTTGTGAAACTTAGCCATAAATACTGCAAGTTGAAAGGTAATAATGTCAAACAGCTTCACAACATTTAGATCTTTAAATAAAGGACTTGAATGTGCGTTATTACTAGAGAAAGTAATTATTCTTAAGGCTCTCTTCTGTAATATATATAAAGGTTGCAAAGCTGTCAGATAGTTATTACCCCAAATAATTATGCAGTAGTTTAAAAAAGGCTCAACTAAAGCATAGTACAGGCTAAGTAGTCTTTTAGTACTTAAGAAATAATGGAGCTTGGACAGAATGCCTATACTTCTCTTGATTTTTTCAGAAATATTAGTAATGTGCGTCTTCCAACTAATAATAACCTGTTTGGGCAATTTTCTTTGCATTGGACGGAAAATAACAAAATTTGACTTGTCAATATTTAATGAAAGCTTATTTGCACATAACCAGGTGTAAACTTACTCAAGTTTAGAATTAATCATGCTTTCAAGCATCTTTATTTCCCTTTGCTGAAAGAATAAATTTGCATCATCTGCAAAAAGATGGAAATCCAAAAGATTTGAACAATTATGAAATTCATTTACATAAATTAAGAATAAAAGTGGTCCAAGCACTGACCCTTGGGGCACACCACGGGATGCTGTCTGAGTGTCTGAAGTAACAGCACCAACAGAAACAAACTGTGATTTATTACGTAAGTATGAAGTAAACCAGTCCTCAACAACGCCTCTGATACCATAGCAGTCAAGTTTTTAAAGTAGGATTTGGTGATTAACATTATCAAAAGCTTTGCTAAAGTCTAGGAATATTCCACAAGAGTAATCTTTAGCTTCAATGGCTAATTGTACTTGGTCAAGTATAATAATCATATGGACTTAATTTAAGAAAATTTCTTTGAATGGAGAGGATCAACTATAACAGTTGATACTCAACTGGCCGAAAATTTGGGATTTGGGCATATTACATGTATTTTGCACAATATAAGTATTAAACTCGTTGTTGTTGTCATTGCTAATTAAATTGCGAGAGACTGTTATTAACTGTATAAAACTGTGAAAAAAAGTCCTATCCTCTTAGCAATCCAGCTGTTCGAAAACCAACAGTTCGTTCGTGACAAGTAAGCCCACAGTTATTTTGTAGAATCATTGCTTCAATTTGAGATGTTCGAAAACCTTGTGAAAGAATCGCCTTCGGCTAGTGATGTAAAAAATGTAGGATTGTTTCCCAAAAATCCCTGTTAGGTTTTTTATACACCAATGAACTGATAGAAAGTGCAGTCCTGGATTGCTCAAAATGTCTTTATCAGGACTACTGGAGTTAGGCATTTTTGCAATGGTTAACTAATCTAAAATCTGTTGTTTTCACTTTCCCCATGTGAGTTAAGCCTACTTTGAGTAAACTATCCCCCGTCCTGCCCATTCCTCTGCCCCTCGTACTTTTCTTCCTCTTTCAACATTTGGTGATTTATAAATCAATCTCCGGATCTTCCTAAAGTCAACTTAATGGTTCATAAGTATACCAAAAAAAACTGATTCCACCACATTTTTACCAGAGAAAAAGTTGACAGCAAATTAGCCGTTTTGGCCATACCTAACTTGATTAATAGCATTCCGTGGTTTGGTATCTTGATTGTGACATCAACTATGGAGTGTCCACCCCCGAGCTTAATGTAAACAGTTGTTGTTTGTTGTGCGTAAGTTTTCGCCGCCATAGCGAGATACTGACAACGAACTTGTTCTGCATCAAGAATGTCCATCACTGAAGTTTTTGCGAGCGAGATTGAAGAGCGAAAGAACCGTCTCAGTAGAGAAATACACAGGACATTCGAGAGGTTACATGATATAATTTTCACTATAACCTGTTCTTGGTTAAATTAATGTAACTTTGCCATTATTTCAGAGGTAAAATTGCAGGTGAGTCGGAGACCTGGAATCTTGCCGAAGCTGGTGCCTCCATCACATTTAGCCTTGGGACGATAGCAAATTCCTTGGCCGTGACATGTTCATTATGGAGCTCTGAAGCCATCTCTCTACCCATTGGTAAGGATGAGATCTTGGTAAGCAATGTTATTGAGCTGTCTCACGATGGCCCACCTGATCTTGAGTTCATGGAGACTGCTCCAGGAAGAATAAATGTAGGTCTGTCGCACGGTGCCTCCAACCTCAATGGATACGAGGTGGTTGTCAAGCAGTTGGTTGACCCAGAATATAACGAGTGGAAGGACTTGGAGACAACAACCATTTGGCATATGTCAGGTATTCCTATGATAAATCTGACCGATGAGATTTACACACAGGTATCCGTGATTCCATATACCACTAAGAAATTTCTGAATTCTCTCTTACGATCATTTAGGGGGAGATTGGGAGCTGGCTTAGTCCTTAGTGAGCTCGACTCAGAAAAAAAAAAAAACCTTCGATGGATTAGCATTCCAACACTGAGCGGTGCGTTCCGTCTCTATTGGCGACCTCGGTCAAGATTCTTCCATACAGACCTGCCACAAGGGGCATAATTGCTAAGTTATGACCAAATTTATTGTAACATTACTAATACTATTTTTATGTTGCAGTGAATCCAACCGTTCCCAATTGGATGTTCCCTTTCGCTGAAGCTACTTGCACGAAGACATGGTTTTCCTCATATGCGGTAGTCTGGCGCCTCAAATCTTTTGTCTTTCCTAAGCTGACGTCTGTAACCCCCGAGCTCATCTGTTCAGTGCCAGACTATCCAAATGTTAGTGTTACGATTCCACGGAACTCGTTGCCTACCGATACAGATTTTTGTTTGACTTTAAAGGTATTTATACCCGATGTTGCTTTTGATGATGATAACGATTACTATTATATACTAAACAGTGGACGGCGTTGAAGAGGGCTTGGATTAGCTTTACTGATACTCCGAATATCTTTTTCTATTCGCCTCCCAGCAAGTAGCTTAGAATTTGCGCCCGAAAACATTGTAATCGTTTCAGGAAGAAATGAGTTTTTATTATCTTTTTGTGCTACATTATCGCACTTTTTTCGTTTATACTTAACAAGTATTTACCTCACTGTCGGTGGCTGGCAGTGGATATTTACCTCGCCCCTTCGCAGCTTGGCACATATTCAACACTAGCCTCCTCGACCTCGGAAAATAGTTGTTAACAATTATTTATCATTATTATTATTATTATTGTTATTATTATTATTATTATTATCATTATCATTAATATTATCATTATTATCTTTATTATGATTCACTTAATAAGACTTTGATGGTGATGATTGGCTGGCACATGTCCATATATCAGTGTTTTCTGGGTAGACGGCTTTTAGCTGAATAAAGAGTTGTCACTGAGTCACATTCAGTTAACGATCCCATTTTATGAGGGAAACTTTTTTTGGCCAACAAAAGTACATTGAAGTTACATCAATTTCTGACGTCATTGTTATGGCTCATAACTTGAGGTGCAAGAAACGCCAAGGATTAACCACGACGTAGAAGAAATGTTTGTTGGTCCGATTCTTCACATTTCGTGTTCGCGTAATGTGAAGCTGTCGGAGTTCGTGAAAATCAGCGTCCCGCTGGCACTCAACGATGGCGAAAGAGAACCAGTGGAACTGCAATCAGGTCATTTGAGGATACTACATTTCAAATCAAGCGAAAATTCACAAGAATGGACTGATATCACAGATCATTTGGAGATGCCTGTAGTCCTCAGAGATGGAATAGCGACGTTTCAAGTCAAAGCTTTCTGCCGGTGAGACAATAGACCATGTTGAAAAACTACTTCTCATTTTATCAGCTAAGTGCATTATTTTGACATTTTTACAGTAAACCATTAGTTTTAGAAACTAAACATCCATTTTGTGGTAAATATAAACATTTGGTGGTTCTCATAACTTTGAATGTAAAACTGTGTGTAGAAAGTGCTCTAAAAAGTAACCTCTGTTGATTAATGTCCCAAAATTATTTAGGAAAAAGAAAATGATTGAAATAGCACGTTTACATGAATTTAAGGGTGACCACTCCCAAATGATGTGCACAATTGCATAGATATAAAATACCGCTCGCGACTGGAGAAAGTTGTCGAAAATAAATGAAAAAGCATTTGAGAATTCTAAGCAAGCTGAAAACTTTGCATGCACGTGCATCAATTGCTATTCAAGTGTTCATATGGGCTCTTCTATTGCGTGCTTGAATCGACTTACAAAAGTTTGAAATAAGTTTTTTTTACACGCACTGCTTTCCACTCGTGAGGTACGCCTACTTGTGAGTAAAGTAGCCCCCGTCTCCCCTCTCTGCTCTTCTTACTTCTCTAAATCTTTCAAAATTTGATGGTTTGTAAATTAAGCCGCTCAGGAGCTTCCCTGTATTATACAAGCTGGCTTCAACTCAAAAATTTGACTCAAGAGTTCAGTAACGGACGTGTTAAATTAGGTAACTGACCTACGTGGATATTTTCATTTGAAAATGTCAAGATAGTTGTCGAGGGTTTATTTCCCTCCAGCAATTTTTTTATTCAGAGGCCAGCATATGTTCTATATGCGTAGATGGGTTTTAAAACGTGGTTGTTAGGTTTATGTTGGGTAGAATTTCTTGCCATTTTCTTTCAGGTTTTGGCCCTGGTTGCTGAAGACATCAAGCGTTCCATGGCAATATGTCTCTTGCTTTCACGACAGAGTAATGAAACAACGAGCTGGCTTTTTAGTTTCCCTGTGCGATGATGCATTACCCTCGAGAAAATTGCTGATTTTCTCTTGTTTCCCGCAGCATTTAAGATTCAAAGAGAGTTACGATATATCCTCGACACATACTGTGAGTATGCAGGGATATGTCACTTCTCCGATACCTCTGTCTTACGAAGAAGAGACATTTGTGTCTCTTTCAGATGGATTTGAGGTACGCGAAGAAGGGAGAACGGAGGACATTGTCTTAAGGTAAGGACCAGTCCTTTAACGTGTTTTTATTTCATCGTTGCCATTCACTGAAGATAGAGACTTAAGGAATTTCAATGCAGAGATAAAGCTTTGTACGATGTATGTAACGGGGCGGGCGCTGACTTCAATCGATTCTTTCGGTCTGTGAATTTCTTAACAGCGCCGCATCAGAGAATGTTTTATAAGTGACGGAACCTTCAAGCATCTATCTTTCTCAATGGATTTATTGCACTTAACAGCTCGTAAAAACTGAAATACAATGAGCCGAATAGAGCTATTACTATAAATCTATGCTAATTGAAATATTTTAACTCAAGCACGCGGAGCGCGCATATATATAATTCTAAACGGCACAAATAATTATTCTTAAACATAACAAATCTGCTTTCGATTAAATGGTGTACATTTCGGGGTCTAGATAAAAGGAACAAACGATATAACATACTTCTTTCTCCGTTCGATTACAATGATATATTCCACAATCCTTCAATCAATTTCCACTACATGCGCTTGTCACTTACACGTGTGTCGAATGAAAGGTAATGCCGACAGCTAATCAATATGTCACATGAAACAAGGAGGTATTGACAGTCACGCAATCACAACAATGAACGGTATTCGATACATGGCTCCCCTAAATTGCGATAGAAATTTACCAAACTAATCAAGGAAACTAAAACCAAATCAACTATTAAAGTCCAACTGTTTAAAATCAAGTCTCTACATAGGCTACAATCTCATACAGTCCCAAAATGGCTCCTCAGGTGGGGATTCCCCGGTCTTCTCTCTCTTCACGAGGTAACAGCAAAATAAGCTTCTGAACTGGTCTACGCAGACTGGTCAGTGGTCCAGCGGGTCGACCGTTTGCGTCCAAGTTCCGGTCGGCAATCTTGATGCAAACCTTTCTTACCAGACCATCTGCATCAGGATATGTTTACTCTACACGAGCGATTCTCCAACAATTTCGCGGTGAGTTGTCATTCATAACGACAACAATGTCATCCACCTGCAGGTTTCTCTGCGGGGCTATCCTTTCTGTCGTGGCTGGAGGGACTGTAAGTAATCCTTTCGCCACCTATTCCAGAACTCATTGGCTAGAAACTAGACCCTATGCCATCGCTTCCTGGAGTACAAATTGGCTCGTTGAAATTCACCAGGAGGGGGCAATATTACCTTAGTTTTCATGGTAAGTAAGTGATTGGGCGTAAGGGGCTCAGGCATCTGTGGAGAATTTATTGTATGAACGGTCAGTGGGCGACAATTCACGATAGCTTCAGCCTCCACCATGAAGGTTCTAAGGGTTTCGTCGTCATGCTGTGCAGCATTCCGTGAAAGGAGCAACGCGAGGACATTTCGGACAGTGCGGATCTGACGCTCTCATGCCCTACCCATGTGACTTGCTTCGGGCACGTTTGTTTTGAAATCTACCCAGTCGCAGTTTGTCTTGACCAACTCTTGCCGTATCTTATCGTGTTCCAACGTGGCTAACTCCTGCTGTAATTCATTCCTTGCGCCAACAAAATTTGTGCCTTGATCGGAGCGCAACTGTTTTACTGGGCCGTGGCGTCCTACAAAACGGCGATAAGCATTCAGGAACGAGTCTGTGGACAAACTGCTTGTGACCTCGAGATGAACAGCCCTGGACACCAGGCATGTAAACAACACCCCGTGACGTTTCACTTCATGACGGCCTTCCTTGATATACCAGGGGCCAAAGTAGTCTACAGCACTGAAGGCAAAGGGAGGTGCAGGTTCTAGGCGATCCTTGGGCAAGTTTGCCATCTTTTGTTCTTGGGGACTACCTCTCAGCCTCCAAGAAGGCACACATTTGGAAATGTGATTGGAGACAGCAGAGCTCCCGCCGATGATCTAAAGGCCGCTTGCTCTGACTTCATTCTGGGTAATACCGCGACCTTGATGTTGAACTGACCTGTGATAGTGGCAGAGGATGAGATTCATCAGATGCCCTTTCTTAGGAAGAATTACTGGATGTTTCACTTCATAAGGAGCGCTGGACTGGCTTAGTCGTCCACCAACTCGCAATAGGCTGTCTTCGTCCAGAAAGGGATCCAGTTTGTACAGCGAACTTGACCTCTTCATTGCCCTTTTCTTGTCCTTACTGGTGTCTTGGTTGACGGCTTGTTGTTTGGTCTTGACATCTTTGAGTAACTGAACTTCATCTTGGAACGCTTTGTTCCGCTCTATCTTGATGATTTGCTGTTCAGCATATTTCAGCTCTTGGATATCAACTGGCTTGCAGGTGGCGATTCCTTCTTGTCTCCTTGCGTTCTCGGATTGGGAGTCGCTGATAGCTAACTTTCGCAATCTCTGCTGAAGTCGGAGACACACCGCGATTGCCTTCTTTGCTCAGTGCCAGCTGGAGAAATACGTTAGACGTTCTTGCAGAGATGATAGCTTCGGCTCTTGAGTCTGGGTAGCTCTCACAGAGACTTTCTTCACCTCAGAATCCTCAGGAGGGATGGAAGGAACGTCATCAACAGAGCTCCAGTCTTCAGGTGAGTTCAGGAGGAAGTTCAGTCCATTCCACCACAAGGTTTTGTCGATTAGCTCTTGGGCACTATTACCACGAGAGGCGATGTCTGCGGGGTTGGATTTTGTTCCCACGTAATACCACTGATTGGGGAATGTTCACTCGCGTATTTCCTGCACGCGATTGCCAACGAACACATGGAACCTTCTGGCATCATTGTTGATGTACCCTAAGACTGTTTTACTATCGGTCCAGAAGACTTCTTTCATCTGTGTGTAATCGAGCTCCTTCCGCAGCATGCAACTTCTCTCTGATGAGACGACAGTGGCCGTTAGTTCTAGCCTAGGTATGGTCACTGGCTTAAGGGGCATTACGTGTGACTTTCCCATCACCAGGGAGCAATGAACACGATTCTCCTCATCGACCAATCGGATGTAGGAACACTGCCCGTAGCCCTTCTGACATGCATCCGAAAAATGGTGCAGCTCTATGTTCTTAACTTCGTGGAAGTCTTGAGGCTTGTGACATCTTGGTACTCTGAGCTTTTCTAGAGCAGGAAGTTCAGCTCTCCACTTCTCCCATTCGGATTTTAACTTGTCAGGGACCTCTTCATCCCAGCCGATACCGTCACGGCACAGTTCCTGCAAAATTTGCTCACCTCCCAAGATGAATGGAGCGACCAGGCTGAGAGGGTCGAACACTGAGCTGACTGTTGACAGGATTCCTCTTCGTGTAGGGGGTGTATCTTGCATTATGATCCTGAACTGGAGCGTGTGGGATTCTATGCACCAATGGACGCCCAGAGCACGTTCGACAGCGGTATAGTTACTGATGAGGTGATAGTCTTTCTAGTCTGTTGCTCGATCTTCTTCTGGAACGGAATTCGCAACTTCTCTGCTGTTTGAAGTGAACTTGTGGAGCCGGAAGCCACCTTTCTGACAAAGGGACTTGGTATTCTTGATCAGCTCTTTGGCTTGTTCTACGGATGGTACTGCTTTCAGTCAGTCGTCCACGTAGAAATTTCTTAGAATAAAGTCTGCCGCTGCACTGCCGCAGGTCTCTTCATACTGGTCCGCTGTAGTTTTAAGGGCGGAGTTAGCACATCCTGGCAATGAGGTAGCACCGAATAAGTGGACAGTCATTTGAAATTCTACAGGATCTCCTTTCAGTTCTGGATTGTCCCACCACAGGAATCTCAAGAGGTTACGGTGTTCCACATCGACCTTTACTTGGTGAAACATGCCTTGGATGTCACACATAAAAGCTATTCGATCTTGACGGAATCTGCACAGAACTCCGGTGAGGCTGTTCGTCATATCTGGTCCCTGGCGTAATTGTTGGTTTAGAGACTGACCAGTTGGGGGTAGTTCCAGACTCCTTTTCCTTTCTGCTATCAGTGTTACTGTCCGTTACTTCATGGGATTCAGTTGCGAGGACGTTAAACGTAAGAGGCCTCCTTCTATTAAGACCGTTCGACTTCCATCCCTCGTCAAGATCTTCCTTAACGACTTCTTCCTTCTGAAGTCTTGCTGTTGTTACAGGATTACAGGCAATTCTAGACTCCCTTTGAAGGAAACGGCAGAATACAGAAAACGGGGGATAGCCCACTTCGCCTTTACGTATGTCGGATGACATTATTTCGCTGTGAGGTTGGGCTTCATCCTTATTGAGCCAGCGGTCTACCTCTCGACTCCAACGGTCGACAAGGTAACGAGGGAGTTTGCGAACCATTTTTTGATTTTCATCTGGATCGTCTAGGACCTTTAGGTATTTCACAGTGTTCGTAGCCGTCTGGCAGTGGATGAGGAAATCTGAGAACTTGTGCAGGCTCGTTCCATCGTTGGGAGGGATCTTAGGCCACTCATTTATTTTCTTCCTGTAAGCATCTGCGACAAGGAAGGGGTTGCCAAATCTGTCAGACAGGATCTTTCTCGCCTGCTTGTATGCGTCTTCAGTCTCCAGTAGCAGTAAGCCGCTGATCGCTTCTTTAGGTTCGCCCGTCTTGTACTTTCCCAGATATTACAGTCTTTGAGACGCCCTTTCTGTCTGCCCCTCTATTATGGTTTCGAAGGACTTCAGCCATACCGGGTAGTGTACCAAATCGCGCTAAAGATCTCCGGGAGATCTCGGGGAGCGGAAGATTATCTTGCAACCGTCGTTGGGATAGAATGTCGGCTAATCTAATTAGCGGATCTTCAACAGTGGGCTTGCGAGGTGAGTCACTTGTCTTGGCTTCTTGGTGTTTGTATAGTTCGTAATCTGCAGTGTAACGTGGATCATATCTCCGAAACAGACTGCCTTCAAACTCGGGGGCGAGCGGATTTAGTGGTTTAGGAGTAGGGGTCGCCGGCTCCTGTTTGGGTAAGCTAATGGCCTCGTCAGCAGGATTAATTTTCGAGGAAGTAGCTGCGGGCTCGTTCTTTACCACAGGAATGCCGTTGTTGCTGGAACTTTCTCCTAAAGGCCCGTCCACAGATTCTACGTTCGTCTCCACAGTCAAATTGTCAACATTTGTTACGGATGACGCCTGTGTTTTTAGATAATTTTGAAGGACGTAGTTTTTATCAATTTCGTCTGGTAAGCCTTCCTTTCCAATCAAACTACCCCTCTCGTCTACTTCAGATTTCATGACTGCCTCCATTTCGGCCTTTGCAAGCGCCAATTCCTTAGCGAGTTTAAATCTCTTGAGCTCGTCTTGAGATCTGTTTCCTTCGCAAAGAGTTTTTACTGTAACGGGGCGGGCGCTGACCTCAATCGATTCTTTCGGTCCGTGAATTTCTTAACAGCGCCGCATCGGAGAATGTTTTATAAGTGACGGAACCTTCACGCATCTATCTTTTTCAATGGATTTATTGGACTTGAGAGCTCGTAAAAACTGAAATACAACGAGCCGAATAGAGCTAATACTATAAATCTATGCTAATTGAAATATTTTAACTCGAGCACGCGGAGCGCGCATATATGTAATTCTAAACGGCACAAGTATTCTTAAACATAACAAATCTGCTTTCGATTAAATGGTGTACATTTCGGGGTCCAGATAAAGGGAACGAACGATACAACATACCTCTTTCTCCGTTCTATTACAATGATATATTCCACGATCCTTCAATCAATTTCCACTACATGCGCTTGTCACTTACACGTGTGTCGAATGAAAGGTAATGCCGACAGCTAATCGATATGTCACATGAAACAAGGAGGTATTAACGGTCACGCAACCACAACAATGAACGGTATTCGTTACAATGTATATTATGATCTGTAAACCTATATGGCAGAATTCTCATAGGCCACTGAAGTTGACCTTTATTTTACCTCGGCGAAAAAGATGCGAAGTACTTTATTTCAAGGGGTCACTATTCAGACTTAAACGTAACGAGATAACAAGAATTTTATATTTTCAAAGAAATAAAAGCTAGCACACAAAATTTAAAAGCGGGATTGCCTCTTGCTGTGGCGTACGAAGTAGCCGAAGTTGCACAAGTTTTCGTTGCTTTAAAGGGGGGGGGGGGGCAACAGCCATCTAAGCGTATTCTGAACTTTTCGATTTTTTTGTAGAAAGAAAAGCGCAATATAATTTTTTCATGTAAGTTTTGAAAAAGGTTCATCAGAAGGGTGCTCCAGGAAAAATAAAATGAATTACCACATTTTGCAACTGTCGGCGGATGCTCGATATTTGTGGTCGGTGGCTCTTGAATGTGTAAAAACATAGCGATCTGCCTCTTAGTCTATCTCGACCCTCTCAGGCATGACAAATTGAGAAAAGAAAATAAAGGGACAGGGAGGCCAATTAAGGCGATGGCTGGGACGTGTCAAGAAAGGTTTGATATGAAAAAGACCAGTTTTGTTGCTGTTCACCAATACATCAATCTTACACACAGGCGACCGAGGTTCGCTGAAGAGGAGGGATAATTTTCTATCTTATGTGAGGAAAAGGCCGTATGCGAAACGGAAAGTGATGCGTGACATGTGCAAATAAAGAATTACGCAAGATCCATTTTGGATTTGACTTCTATCTCGCAATATATGGAGGTGTTGTCACAACTGTCGTTAAAACGAATTCGTAATGTTTTCTTAGTCTGAAGATTTTTTCTTGTACTGTATCTATGCTACTTATTTTTCAATAGCTAGTCTTATATGTCAACGCACGCATGGCATGGCATGGGGTGATCCGGCTATGACTTTCTATAACTAGCTTTAGTTAAATTGACAGATTGCAAGGTCTGCGCCAGAAGCCTCCTTCTCTGTCCATTATGTTCACTTGATATTGACCATACGTAATACCAGTAAGTGATTCCTTCTTTGACTTCGACGACAAAAACGACCCAACTAACTTTAAGATTGTTTCGATATTTCTCACTGCCACTGGCAAAAATGTAGACTGATGTAAATTCATACAAAATCATAAGAAAAAGCCCTTTTTCACCAAAATATTTGTATTTTCGTACGCAAGGTTTCTTGGTCATGAACCATTTCGGCTGAGTGTACCTGTTCGCATTGGAGATAGTAGTAATCTGCGAGTCAAGTTCAAGTCCTCCGTGTCCATAATTCCTAGATCTTCAGCAACGGTATGTACAAACTCACAAACAAACGACACTTTATTCAACATGGTTAGCATCAATTACTGATAACTCAGTAGTTTACACAATGGCCCTCCCTCCTTAAGCTAATAAAATAAGCATCGAGTCTAAAAATCTCAACTGGCCAGAAGCAAACTGGTTGACTATATGCACAGTGCAGTTAAGGAGTTGAACACGGAGCAAGCGAAAACAAAACCGTTAAGTAGCAGAGTGGAGGAATTGAACTCGAGACTATCAGCGCACCAACCCTGTGAAAAACGAGTGATTACATCCTTGTATTTTGTAAAGACACTTACTTGGGGAGCAGAGATATCTCTATGTACTGATACAGTTGTGTGTACTCCTCCTAAAAACACCTTTCTTGCTTATGCCCCTCGTGCGCTTACTATGAAACTCAACATGATTGGGAAAGACTTTGCCTTATTAATTTTATCTCCCCCCCCCTATGCTTACCCCCATAAAAACCTTGTGAATCCCCCTCCCCCCACCAAAAAAAAAAAAGAAACAAATGTTCAAGAAGATATAGCGGCCACCCTAGAATGCTTTCAGTCCTTTTGAACAAAATGGTGATCATATACAACCATAATGACTTTTGTAATCTGGGAAGAGAGAGATCTCTTCGTGATAAACAATTGCCTCAGATTTGACAAGCTCTACAGAATCTACAATGGTATTGATTAAATCTCACCATCAAAAGGGTACCGATCGAAGCTAGGAATGAGATAATGACATCATTTTAGGGTGGCATGAGCTTATTTTGAGGAACAATAGATAGAAGCACAAGGGTGAAGGTCAAGTAAAAGAGATTTGGCGTCCAAAGGAAATAGTAGAAGAACATATAGGACCTTACGAGACATTCCTTTTTTTTTTCAGTTGTTTTGAAGCCTCTCTTCATACCGATTTGTCTCTCATCACTAAATTGTCCAAATCAATGTCCTCATCATTTACTTGATTAATTACTGACCTCATTACATCTTTTACTTTTTATTTATATCCTCCTTTTCTTTAGTTTTATTCACTTCCAATTCATATACAGCCGTAAATTGAAAAATTTCCCTTCTCTTTTAGGCTCCTGTTCCTGCGATCCATGACTTTAAAGAAGGAAATGGTAAATTGTGTTGGTGTTATTATTGTTGTTGTTTCGTTGTTGTTCGAATAAATATAATTCAATAGATCGGTCAGCAGTGTTTTAACATATGCGAACCTAGAAATGCAGGCCCTGTGTGTTTTTGAAAATGAAGCCTCTTGACTAAGCAATATAATTTCACTGCAGAGACATGATAACCTGTTTTAGTTCATGTTTTAATATATCAGGGCATACTCCCCTAACGCTCAAAGTGATGCCTTATCCTCTCTGCTACTACTTATAATAAAGTTGGGATCTAACGCCGCGCTGTGATTGGTTGAAAGAGCGTGCTCTTTCAGAGTACAAAACACGGTACTGAACTTAAGCTGTCACGCCATCTGCCAATTTGTACCATTCGTCTAACCATTTCCCGGACTTCTCTATACCTTTTTTTTCATTAATTGAAACTGAAATTTCGAAACAAGCGAGACAGCGAGTAGCAACAGGAGAAAAACACAAAGGCTTGTTAACATGTCAAGCGCCATTATCTCCACCTCACTCGTATTTATGTTTTGCATATCCACGTGTAAGTTGATGTTGATTCAATTTTGTGGCAAGAGAAAAAATCTCAAAAATCGATGGATTGCCTTGGAATTGTCATTATGTGACACCGCTGATCCTGAGGTAGAGAACGAACAAAAAGTGGTCGGGCTGCTGAGATCTAGAGTAGAGTAGAGCTTCAAAAAACTGATTGCATAGGGACTTTTATTTAAGGATTTTCCAAAAGATCTCTTTTCTAAACGGAACGAAGACTAGAATGCTTTCGATCAACACTGAAATGCAAACTGAACAACTTACCGTCCGCGCTGGTTGACTACTTATTGAGAACATTTCAGCTGGATTTTACAACATGACTGGAGCCCACGAGTAATGGCTCCTGGACATGATGAATCAACTTGGCACGTTTGAAGGATTCAGAGCAAATCGCTGAACACGATAAACCTACTTGCCTTGCCATGTTGGAAGAACACTCAAAAGCAAAAGGCTTAGCCCTCAACACAGCAAACCGCTTTGTCGAAGGCTTCCGATTGAAACTTTGGGTTAAAGGACCAGTCATTTAGTTTCTCACCTTGGAGGGGTGGGGGATTTCTGGGGGATCACATGGATTTCAGGAGAATGGGTGGGGGAATCAGTCGTCCACAATAATTGCCAATGGGAGGGGGATAGTAAGAACGTTACAGAGCCCTTGGTTGTTAAAAATCTGATTAGAAATTGAGACTGGATACCAATGGAAGGGGAACGATTTAATATGCCTTTGTCTTGTCCAAACAAATAGCCCGAGAGGAAGACAAGTCACTTGAGGTGGAAGAAGTTGTCAGCAGATCAACTGATCAAGATGATGAACAACTGGAGGAGGCTGCTGGAAATGAGAATGGAGGAAAGACTGTCATTCGGAGGTATTGTATAGGGTACATGTAATTGTAATGTTCTTTTACCCATGTTAGTAAAGGTAATATCGCAACAATCAATTAAATAGATATTTAACCCTTTTACTCCTAAGATCTCACTAGTAATTCTCCTTATTGTCTGCCATACAATTCTAATGATGTTGGTTCGAAGGATCATGTATTAAATCAACCAATAATCTTAGAATTTATTGTTTTCTCTTTTCTCATCTATTGTCTGCGTGGTATTTTATTGATACGGTAAGGAGAAATTCTGTCTGGCTCACTCATGAGAGTTAAGGCAGGGGGCCGTTAACACGTTTTTGTGTTAATATGCATGAAAACACATTAAAATTATTGTATAATAATCATATCGACTTAACGGAAGAAAATTTCTTGGGATGAGGAGGATCAATGATAACGGTTAATACTCAACTGGCCGAGAATTTTGGGATTTGGGCATATATGCATATATTGAATCCTGTGTCGTTGCTATTTAACTTGCGAGAGACTGTTATTAACTGTTTAAAATAGTGAAAAAAAGTCCTATCCTCCTAGCAATCCAGCTGTTCGAAAACCAGCAATTTATTCGTGACAAGTAAGTCAACAGTTATTTTGTACAATCATTGCTTCAATTTGAGATGTTCGGAAACCTTGTGAAGGAATCGCTTTTGGCTGGTGAGGTAAAAAATTTAGGATTGTTTTCCCAAAATCCCTGTTAGGTTTTCTTCTACACCTATGAACTGATAGAAAGTGCAGTCCTGGATTGCTTAAAATGTGTTCATCAGGATTACTGGAGTAAGGCACCTTCGCAATGGCTAACTTATCTGAAATCTGTTGTTTTCACACTTCGGAGCTTCCCTGGGCCAACTTAATCGTTGATAAGTATCCAAAACAACCGACTCCATCACATTTTTAGCAGAAATCTGCTGTTTTCAAACTCCGGAGTTTCCGTTAGTCAACTTAATGGTTGATAGAGAACAAAAAAACTGATTCCACCAAATTTTTAGCGAAAAAAGGGACAGCAAATTAGGCGTTTTCGCCATACCTAACAAAACTGACAACATTCCGTGGTTTGGTATCTTATTTGTGACATCAAATCCGAAGTGTCCACTCTCGAGCCTAATGTTATCAGTTGTTGTGTTTTGTGCGTACGTTTTCGCTGCTGGAGTGAGATACTGACAAAGAACTTGTTCTGTATGAAGGAAGTCAATCGCTATAATTTTTGCGAGCGAGATTGAAGAGCTAAAGAACCGTCTCGATAGAGAAATACACCACAGGACATTTAAGAGGTTACATGATGTAATTTTCACTAGAACCTTGTTCAAGGTAAAATTAATGTAATTTTGTGATTATTTCAGAGGTAAAATTGCGGGCGAGTGCCAGACCTGGAATTTTGCAGAAGTGGGTGCATCCATCACATTTAAACTTGGGACGATCGCAAAATCTTTGGCCGTGACATGCTCATTATGGAGCCCTGAAGCCCTCTCTCTACCCATTGGTAAGGATGAGCTCTTGGTAAGCAATGTGATTGAGCTGTCTCACGATGGCGCACCTGATCTGGAGTTCATGGAGAATGTTCCAGGAAGAATAAATGTAGCTCTGTCGCACAGTGCCTTCAACCTCAAAGGATACGAGGTGGTTATCAAGCAATTGGTTGACCCAGAATATAACGAGTGGAAGGATTTAGAGACAACAAACATTTGGCATACGTCAGGTATTTCTAAGATAATTTGGATATATCAACAAAGTTGAAATGGTAAATTGGCCACCGTAACGATTACAAAAGCTGACGTTTCATTCGCTCCGACGAAGGGCTAACGCTCGAAACGTCAGCTTTTGTAATCGTTGCGGTGGCCAATTTACCATTTCAACTTTGTTGATATATCCAAATTATTTCGTTACCCCCACCGACGCAGCCCCAAACAGTTTCTTTCGAAACTATCAGCCTTTATCCATTGCTATGATAAATCTGACTGATGAGATTTATACACAGTATAATTCCGTATACCACTCAGAAATTTATCAATTCTATGCTACCATCATTTAGGGAAGATGGGAAGTTGGCTTAATGCTTAGTGAGCCTAATTCTAGAAAAAAAAAAAAAAACCTTCGATGGATTAGCATTCCAACACTGAGCTGTGCGTTACGTCCTTATTGGCGATTTTAGTCAAGATTCTCCAATACAGACCTGCCACACGGGACATAATTACTAAGTAATAACCAAATTGATTGTAACATTACTAATACTCTCTATATTGCAGTGAGTGCAATCGTTCCCAATTGGATGTTCCCTTTTGCTGAAGCTACTTGCACCAAAAGGTGGTTTTCCTCATTTGCGGTTATCTGGCGTCTCCAATCTTTTGTCTTCCCTAAGCTGACATCTGTGACCACTGACTTTATCTGTTCAGTGCCAGACTATTCAAATGTTAGTGTTGCGATTCCATGGAATTCTTTGCCTGCCGATGCAGACTTTTGTTTGACTTTAAAGGTATTTATACCCGATATTGCTTTTGATGATGATAACGATAATTAATATATACTAAACAGTGGACGGCGTTGAAGAGGGCTCAGATTGGCTATACTCATACGCCGAATGTATTTTGCTATTTACCTCTTAGTAACAAACTGAGGATTTGCACCCGAAAACATTGCAAGAACAAATGAGTTCTTGTCATCTTTTGGTGCTACATTATCTCAATTTTTTGGTTTATACTAAACAACTATTTACCTCACTATTGGTGGCTGCAGTGGATATTTAGCTTGCATCTTCGCGGCTTGGCACATATCCACCACCAGCCTCCTCCACCTCGGTGAATAGCTGTTAATTATTTTATATTAAATTAATAATACTACTACTAATAATAATAACTATGATTATTATTATCATTATCATTAATATTATCATTATTATCTTCATTCTGATTCATTTAATAAGACTTTTGTGGTGATGATTAGCTAGCACTTGTCCACGTGTCATTGTATTGTGGGTAGACAGCTTTCAGCTGAAAAAAGGAATTGTCACTGAATCACATTTATTTAACGATTCCATTTTATGTGGGAAACTCTTTTTTAGCCAAGAAAAGTACACTGTAGTGATTTTAATGTCTGATGTCATTGTCTTGGCTCATAATTTGAGGTGCAAGAAGCGCCAAGGATTGACCGCGACGTAGAAGGAATGTTTGTCGGTCCGATTCTTCACATTTCGTGTTCACATGATGTGAAGCTGTCGGAGCCAGCGAAAATCAGCGTCCCGCTGGCACTCACCAACAGTGAAAAAGAACCAGTGGACCTGCAGTCAGGTCAGTTGAGGATACTACATTTCAAATCAAGAGAAAATTCGCAAGAATGGACTGATATCACAGATCATTTGGAGATGCCTGTGGTCCTCAGAGATGGAATAGTGACGTTTCAAGTCAAAGCTTTCTGCCGGTGAGACAATGGTTCATGTTGCAAAAGTACTTCTCATTAGATCAGCTGAGTACATTATTTTGACATTTGTCAAGTAAACCATTAGTTTTAGAAACTAAAAATTCGCTTGGTGGTAAATCTAAACACTTGTTAATTCTGTTTTTCTTAATGTGACACTGTGTAGAAAGTGCTATAAACTAAGTAATCTCTATTGATTGATTTATGTCCCAAAATTATTTAGTAAAATAAAAATTAGTAAAATAACACTTTTACATAAACTTAAGAGCGACCACTCCCAAATAATATGCATAATTGCAAAATAAAAAATAGCGCTTGCGATCGGAGAGAGTTGACGAAAATAGGAAAAATTAAGTGAAAATTCAAAGCAAGTTGAAAACGTCGCATGCTTATACATCAACTGCTATTGATAGGTACACAAGAGGTCTTCCAGTGAGTGGTTTAATGAGCATACAAACTTTTGAATCATGTTGTTTCACACGCACCGCTTTCCCATGAGAGGTACGACTACTTGTGAGTGAAGTGGCCCTCCCTATCTCCCCTCCCCTAAAAAAAGAAACTTCGCCTCCTTCTTCGACATTTTATGGTTTGTAAATCAAGCTCTGGAACTTCCCTGTATTGTACGAGCTGGCTTCAAACTCAAAAGTTCGTCTCAAGAATTCAAACGCAGACTTGTCAGCCAGTGTTGAGCTAGGTAACTGACTTATGTCGATATTTTTATTTGAAAATGTCATGAAGATAGCTGTCGAGGGTTTATTTCCCTCCAGTAAATGTTTTTATTCACAAGAGGCCAACATACGTTCTACACGTGTAGATGTATTTTAAAACGTGGTTTTTAACTTAATGATATGTAGAATTCCTGCCATTTTTTGCAGGTTTTGGCCCTGGTTGCTGAGAACGGCCAGTGTTCCATGGAACTATGTCTCTTTTCTTTACAATAGAACCATGAAACGACGAGCTGGCTTTTTAGCTTGCCTGTGCGATGATGCAGTACCCTCAAGAAACTCGCTGATTTTTTCTTGTTTCCCGCAGCATCTAATGTTCACAGAGGTTAAGGATATATCCTCACTGCATACTGTGAGTATGCAAGGATATGGAACCTCATGGGTACCTCTGTCTAACGAAGATAAGATATTTGTGTCTCTTTCAGAGGGGTTTGAGGTACGCGAACAAGAGAGTACGGAGGGCATCGTCTTAACGTAAGCACCACTCCTGTTACGTGTTATCATACCACCTTCGTCATCCACTCGTCCGTTTATGTGAAAAAAAAAAACTTGGCGATCCTGCCTCTTAGTCTGTGTCGACCCTCTCAGGCGTAACAAATTGACAAAAGAAAATAATGGGGCAGGGAGGCCAATCAGGGCGTTGGCTGGGACATGTTGAAGTAGGTTTGATATCAAAAAGACATTTAGTCTTGTCACTGTTCATCGATACGTCAATCCTACTCGCAGACGACCGTGGCTCGCTGAAAGAGGAGGGATACTTTTTATTTTATGTGAGCAAAAGGCCAGATGCGAAACCAAAAGTGATGCATGACATATACAAAAAAAAAAAACCTACACGTCAAGATTCGTTTCGGATTGACTCTCACTCACAGTAGATGGAGGTGTTGTGTCAACCGTTTTAATTATAATAATGTTTGCACAAGGAAAAATGCATTCGTAGTGTTTTTTAGTCTGATAATTTTATTTTTCCTGTGCTTTATCTATGTAACCATCATTGATTTCTAAACCCTATTTTTTAATAGTTAGTTTTAGATGTCAACACACGCATGGTATGACATGGGCTGATCCAGCTACGACCATCTGTAACTAACTTTAGTGAAACTGACATATCCCAAGACCTGGACCAGAAGCCTCCTTCTCTGTCCTATTGTGTTTTCTTGATATTGACGATTAGTACTATCAGTGAGTGACTCCTTCGTTGACTTCGACGACTAAAGAGAGTAAACTAACTGAACGAGTGTTTCTATATTTCTCACTGCCTCTTCCAAAGACGGAGACTTGAGTGACTTTTCAAGTCCTCTACATGACTGATATAAACTCTTGAAAATCATAAATTCACCAAAATATTTTTGACCTTTTTCTTGGCAAGGTTTCTTGATCAGGAACCATTTCGGCTGTGTGTACGTGTTAGCATTGGAGACAAGAGTAATCTGCAAGTCAAGTTCTGCAAAGAGCGAGAGAAATCAGGAGTGATATGTGCAGTGCCCATAATTCCCAGATCTGCAGCAACGGTAACTACCAAAAAAAAAACCAACTAAACCTTATTTAACATGGTTAACATCAATTGCCGATAGCTCAGTAGTTTACATAATGGCCCTCTCTCCTTAACCTAATGAAATAAGCATCGAGCCTAAAAAATCCCAACTGGCCAGAGGCAAACCAGTTGGCTATATGCACCGTACAGTTGAGGGTTTGAACTCGGGGCAAGCGAAAACAAAACCAGCGAGTAGCAAAGTGGAGGAATTGAACTCGGGACAGTCAGCGCACTACCCTTGTGAAAAACGGGTTGTTACACCCTTGTATTTTCTGAAGACACTCACTTGGGGAGCAGAGATTTCTCCATGGACTGATATAGCTCTTTTACTCTTCCTAAAAGCATATTTCTTTCATATGCCCCTTATATGCTTAATATGAAATTCAACATGACTGGGAAAGAGTTTTCCTCGCTCATTTTATCAAACAAAAAAAGAGATAACCAACAATCCAGAAAATGGCTTAGGAAGATGAAGTGGCCACCCTTGGATGCTTTCTGTCCTTCTGATCAAAGTGTTATCATATACAACCATAACACCTAATGTAATGTGGGATGAGAGATGGCAAGCTATGCTGAATCTATACTGGAATTAATAAGAATTCGCCCATCGAAAGGGTTCCGATCGAGGTTAGGGTTGTGATAATGACGTCATTTTAGGGCAGCATCAGCTTCTTTTGAGGTGCAATAAACAGAAGCACAAGGCTGATGGTTAAGCAAAAGAGATTTGGCCTCCAAAGGAAATAGTGGAAGAACCTATAGGACCATATAAGACATTACTTTTATTTTTCAGTTGTTTTGAAGCCACTTTTCATGCCGGTGGGCCTTTCACCACTAAATGGTCCAAATCAATGTCCTCATCATTCACTCTTTAAATTACGGACTTAATTTCATCTTTTACTTTTTATCGACATCCCCCTTTTCTTCAGTTTTATTCACTTCATATACACCCGTAAATTGAAAACTTTCCCTTCTCTATTTAGGCTTCTGTTCCTGCGACCCTTGACTTTGAAGAGGGAAATGGTAAATTGTGTTTGGTACTGTTATTGTTGTTGTTTTCGTTGTTGTTCGAATAAATATAATGTACTAGTTCGGTCAGCGTTATTTTAACATATGCAAACCCAGAAATGCAGGCTCTGTGTGTTTTTGAAAATGTAGACCATTGGCTAAGCAATGTAATCTCACTGCAAAGTCATAATAACCTGCTTTAGTTCATGTTTCACTATATCAGGGCATGCTCCTACTCATGCGCAACAGTGATGGCGTACCCTCTATGTTACTGCTTACAATAAAGTTTGGTTAGAACGCGCGCTGTTCAGAGTAGAAAACACAGCGCTGAGCTGAAGCTGTCACACCATTTGCTAATTTTTACTATTCGTCCGACCACTTCTCGCGGCTTTTTTTTTTTTTTCGTTAATTGTAAATAAAATTTCGGAACAAGCGAGCCAGCAAGTAGCAATAGAAGAACCAAACAAAAGTTTGGAAACGTGCTAAGCACCGTTATTTGTCGTTGTTGTAAAGTGAGTACAGACGAAATTCCTCAAAGAGAAAACGAAATGGACTGTCCGAAGGTTTTCACGCTCAATTTAGATTGTAAGTTTACATACGGTAATGAAAATCTACCACAGCTAACACTCGAACAGTGTATATAGTTTCGTGTTCAAAAACAAAACAGGACTGCATGATGACAAATATAGCCAAACTGGCATGGCTATCTTTAAAACAGGGAATGAGGGAATGAGGGAATGGGGAATGGGAAATCTTTCAAACAGGGAATCCTTAAAAGCGGGAATCTTTAAAACAGGGAATCTTTAAAAGCGGGAATCATTAAAACGAGAATCTTTAAAAGCGGTAATCTTTAAAACGGGGATCTTTAAAACGGGGAATCTTTAAAAGCGGGAATCTTTAAAACGGGGAATATTTAAAAGCGGGAATCTTTTAAAAGGGGAATCTTTAAAAGCGGGATTCTTTAAAAACGTAACAATTTTTTTTCGGTGGATGGCAGCGGCACTCGATTATTATTATGTTTTTATTAGCCTGAATGGTGAGCCAGCCATCAGCCCTATGAGCAATTATGATTGAATACTCTGATCTGCATCGTTTTTCGGTATTATCCTCAGGGTTCAAATGACAGTCGGCTGCCGGTAGCAGCCTGATTTTTTAACATACTTGCTAGCAATTTTTCACCAAAGAACTATAATTTTTATAAAAAGTATTTTTCTTATTGATCGTCCAAATGAAGTAAAAGTCCCTGTCCTGTTATGGTAAACATTTCATATCAGACAATGATGCGGTAAAGATTGCTATACTGCTAAACTTTGCAGGAGTAAACTATGGATAGTTTTCACAAGCCTAGAGCTTTGAGTCTCGACAGAAACACATCAGAAAATTGGCGGCGATTTAAACAGCAGATTGATATCTACTTAACTGCTTCGGGAAAATGAAACAATAACCACGTGCGAGCTGTTATGTACTAATGACATAGAGCATGCGTGTCACGCATGACGTCCAAACGTGACAAACGCAGCCAAGAAATATTTTAAAAGCTTTTTGGAGACGTAAACGAATATAAAGTTTCGAAATTTGAAGCTTGCTACAAGGAGTATTTTTGTAAACAGTATTCAGCTTTCTACGTATTTGTTCAAGCGTGAAACGTGCAAGTTTGTTTACACACTGTCTCATTACCGTGTTTACGTTTCTGCACGTTCATACGACCTTAAATCGAGATTTATTTTCCGCCAAACTCTGTTCAATGTCGTTTGTATAGCCTTCTTACGTGTTCAAATTTAAGTCGATGCTTGACATTACGGATTTTCCCATGATTGTAAATGAAGAAGCGCGACAGTTTGTCAAGACAAAGTTAAATATTTCACGCTTTAACAAACACCGAAAATTTGAGTCGTTCACCACGCTTTGTTATTTGATAGGGAATTGCCGCAACGAAACTTGTTGATCAAATAAAGATTCTTATGCTGGAATTGTTTTAGTAATTTAATCATGTTGAGTGTTGAAAACATGCGCTGAGTGCCCTTCCATTATAGCCTAGTTTTACTTGTGTCAACACTCATGGTCTTAAAATAAGTGAGGAGAATTTGCTACCTTTCTATGATCAAGAAATGGATAGATATTCTAGTCTTCTCGGATAAGGACGAATAAACCGTAGGCCCCGTCTCCTGCAGGGTTAGGGGTAGGAGACGTTAATTTCCCACGCACGAGATTATTGTGTGGTGGATGTCCTCCCCTGGGTGGGATGGGTGGGTGTTGGCCCTGATAAGCCCCTATGGGGAGTGGTCAATAACCTGTGTATGTAAGTAGCTCCCATTGCGGGCCTATGTTTACGTAAACATCCGGGCAATCGCCCATGTGCTTTGAAAAAGAAAATCGTCGCGTTCATTAAAAAAAAATTTTTTGTTGCCATGTATTGTCGTTGTTTGTAAACCCTAACCTCGAACAGTCGGTGAGTTTTCATTTCAGTTGTTTATGTTGTAATTTCGTTTATTTTAAGCGTGTTTTCTGTTTGCAGAAAACCTCTCCTTTACTGGTTAGTCGAGTTTTCGACTCAAGTAAGTGTTTCTGTGAAATAAACAACACATGAATTTTGATGGATTCACTTGCTTAACATTGAAAAAACGATCAACTTTTTCACAGACCATTCATTCATTTGGTCGATTTCATTTCACACTTCTAAATATTCCTCATTTTAAAGATTCTCGCTCTTAAAGATTCCCGCTTTTAAAGATTCCCGCTTATAAAGATTCCCGCTTTTAAAGATTCCCGCTTTTAAAGATTCCCCATTTTAAAGATTCCCGCTTTTATAGCTTCCCCATTTTAAAGATTCCCGCTTTAAAGATTCCTCGTTTTAAAGATTCCCGCTTTTAAAGATTCCCCGTTTTAAAGATTCCCGCTTTAAACATTAACCATTTTAAAGATTCCCGCTTTTAAAGATTCCCCATTTTAAAGATTCCCGCTGTTAAAGATTCCCCGTTTTAAAGATTCCTCATTTCAAAGATTTCCCATTCCTTATTCCCCATTCCCCATTCCCCATTCCCTCATTCTCCATTCCCCATTCCCTGTTTTAAAGATAGCCAAACTGGCATAACTGTTTCAATTTCCAAAAAATCATGAAGGTGTCAGAGCGACTGCGATCATGCTGAGGTCCACCACGGCCAGCTTATCATGGCGATCTCCGGGCATCGCAGCGAAGCAAGGAACAGAAATCACATCGCCCGCCCTACGAGTGAACAACTAAGAGCTTGCTCTGATATCCTTTCCGATGCGTTGAGTGGAAGGCCACATCAGTCATAGCAGCCGACTTTTACGGTGCTGTCATCGCGAGCAATCTTCATGTTGATGTGAATTCCGCTGTTGTTCATTGATAAAACACACGCCTTGAGCATTTTCTTTTCTAATTGTTACATGAAAAACTTGCGTGTTTATATGAAGCACGATTCGGCTGGATTTCACTTTCAGATTCTGTAGTAAGACTAAAGAGCTTCAAGCAAAAGTATTAAATTCGACCCGTCGAACTATTTCAATTTGCAACCATTGCAGATTGTGAACTTTGATGGTTTGTGAACTTTGATAGTTTGACATTTTTGACAGCTTTGGTCTTCTCCAACCTTCATCCTTAGAAGGATTCTGATTGTCTTATTGGAGCGTGCTTTATGAGAGTATAGAACATGTTGACGACGCTGGTGTTCGCTCATCCTCGGAGCCCCAGGGGCTGTGGGTCGATTTCAACGATTTCAAGTTAGGGCATGAAGAGCCCCTGGGGACATTGTCTTACAAGACTAGTTCCAAACGGTCGCAGTCGTTCTGCCATCTGATTGGTGCCAGAAAATCTTTGTGTTTTTCTGCCCAATCAGAGAGAAGTGTGCGTTAGAGTCATTTCGTGTGTTTTAACACGGACATATACTAGTAGCTTAGTTGCTCGCTATGTTTGTTTGGACCTTGCGACGGAGATTTGCTTGAGGTGAAAAGTTTCAGTCTCAGCACACAATGTAAGAGAAATCGATCATGTCCGCGAAAATCTTACCGGAAATTATACTGAATACTTTCACAGGTATCACCAGAGAACATGTTTTAAAGTTTGCGAGGTTTGTATACAACACGATGGTTGCAGTCATTGATATGTCGCTTTAAACGTTAAACGAGATTTAAGCTTA